GTCAGTTAAGGTGATCGTATGCAAATTGTCTTCTAGTTTGAAATCACTTCGTTGATTTTGATTGTTGCGAGATTGAAGGAATTTTCACGCGGAATAGAATGTCCTTGAGAGATTTTTCCTTTTAGCTGTAGGAGACAATCGGTGGTTGGTTAAAGATTTTTTTTAAGCCTAAGTTGCTGTTGAATGATGTGGCAGTGTTTCATGAAAATCGTTTTGAGATTCGGTGTGGCCAGATTGTGTTGGAGGTGGTAACAAACAGCAAAATCTCTCAGTTTGTTTTTTTGTTTTGTTGCGAAGAGCCTCTTTTCTGTCGGCGAACTTAACCTCAGTCAGTATTTCTTGAACGAGCGTTAAAGGGTAGCCTCTCCTTTTTTCAAAGTTTTCTCTAACTGAGTTAGTTCTTAAAAGACATAATGCTTCTCCTTTTATAAAACTCTTTTTGCAGTTTAAATGGTAGCAAGATGAGAAGTGTGTATATTGAAAAGTTTCGCTGGGCTTGAAATATGTTAGCAACTCTAAAGAATATTATGAGTTGAAAGGCGAGGTACTTTGAAAACCTCAGTGTGAAGAAAACTGCAGCGCGTTCAGATGACATTTCACAAGTACACTTTGATTGTGCAGGGTGGAACGTGTTTGCAAAGTCAACAAATTGTAAACTTCTCGTTTCATTGAAACGTCGCACAGTGAAAAGATGCCATCAATAAATCTCTTCCAGACCAAAGGTTTAGAAGAACTAGTCATTAGCAGTCGTGAGTTCGTAGGTCTTCCATAAAAATAACAGAAAATTTAAGCAACTGCTGTCTTAGTTTCCCAAGCGACGCCTTTTGTTTGTATGAAGTGTCTTTGAATTGTCTTCAAGTACGAGCCGCCAAAGTTCCTGTAAATGGTTTGTGGGAATTGGCAAATTATGCTCATGGTGATTTTCGTAGTGACGGCAAATAACGTCAATCCCCCACATATGTGTAAAAGGAACTCACAGTCGGTGTGCTCGGCAGGTCCTTCGGTTATTTACTATTCTGACCGTTTGAGAAAAGTAAAAGAATTGTTAATTCCGTGCGGCAGCCGATCTTCACTAAAACAACACACGGGCACAAACGGGTAACATACACTGAGTAACACACCAACGCCTCACGGATACACAAGGGTACATTCAAGTAACATACGGACAACGTACGAAAAACATACGGACAACATACGGGTGACATACCGATACATACGGACAACATACGGGTAACGTACGGACAATATAGGGTAACATACGGATACACACGGACAACATACGGACAAATACAGAAAACATACGGGTAACAAACGGACAACATACGGGTAACGTACGGATACACACGGACAACATACGGACAAATACAGAAAACATACGGGTAACAAACGGACAACATACGGGTAACATACGGATACATACGGTCTACATACGGACAAATACAGAAAACATACGGGTAACAAACGGACAACATACGGGTAACATACGGATACACACGGTCAACATACGGACAAATACAGAAAACATACGGGTAACAAACGGACAACATACGGGTAACATACGGATACACACGGACAACATACGGACAAATACAGAAAACATACGGGTAACAAACGGACAACATACGGGTAACATACGGATACACACGGACAACATACGGACAAATACAGAAAACATACGGGTAACAAACGGACAACATACGGGTAACATACGGATACATACGGACTACATACGGATATACATACAAGTAACACACGCATACATACGGATACATACGAATAATACGAAGCTGATATACGCAAAAACCGCCGGAAATCTACCTTTTGCATTAGGGAGATGTGCTTTGTAATTGTTATCGATTGCAAAATGAAACCTGCTGTGAGTACAACCATTGCTGCAGTACATATCAGATCACGTAACTAAGTACCTTGACGACTTTAAGAATTATAACTTTAGATTTTGGGCTGGATCACATATCATGTAAACCTGATCTCCCCCTCACCATCTCCGACGGCAAAGTATTGAAAGTGGTCGTCAACGTGGAAAAAAGGAAGACCAGCGCTATACCTGTCTGTAAATGTATGATTTACTAAAGTTACATTTTGAGAAATTGTTAAAAATTGTTTAAAATGATAATTGTTAAAGAAAAAAAATGAAAAAGGTATTCGTATGTATCCGTTCGAAAAAAGTTCGTATGAACACACGCGATGTTCCTTGGATAACTCAGCACTTGAAAGATTTAATCCGGAAAAGGGAACAGGCTTTCCACAAAAAAGGGGCGGACTCAGTACAATATAAATTGTATAGGAATCAGGTTAACCGAGAAAGAAAGCTTTGCAAAGCCAAAAAAAAAAAAGCCAAAGCCTAGTGAAGAGAGATGAAACGATTAAGCGGCGGGAAAGTTTGTTCAGCTGATCTCTTTAATCATGTGAAGGTCAAAGAAGTTGAGAAGTTACCTACACTTGAATTTGCGAACTCTATAAATAAAGCATTCCTCTAGCCTCTTGAGGAGTATTGTCCGTCTCGCCTCATCACTTGCCTTGCCCTGGAAAAAGATCTTCCCAAGTTTCTACTTGGAAGCATCCAAGAAAGATGTGTGGAAAATAATATCCTACTCAATCCTTGTAAATTGTGTTGGCCTGACAGGATTCCGAATTGGCTTCTTCGAGAATACGCCGACCTTATAGCTTTTCCTGTATGCAGAATTCTCAATGTATTGTTTGAAGAGCAACGCGTACCTCGACCGTGGAAACTTGCTAATGTGACCTCGCTTCACAGGAACAAACCTCAGAGATCCCATTCAAGGGGGATCTTAGACCCATCTCACTCACACCATGTGTCTCGTCGAAAGTCGCCGAGGAGTTCGTGTCGTGTATAATTACATCAAGCCTGCTGTACTTAATGATCTTGATATGAACCTGTATGGCGCCTTAACGAAGTCGTCTACTACGCTTGCTTTGTTGGATATGCTTCATGATTGGTCTAAGGGCACCGATGGAAAAGTGCTACTAGAAGAACTGCTTTGTTCGATAAAGCTTTGATTTAATCGACCATAACACCCTTATAATGAAATTATGTATGATAGAGGTGCCAAATAGCATAATTAATTAAATTACCGACTTTCTTTCAAACAGATCTCAGAATCAAACTTGGCAAGGGATGTGTATCTTATTGGGCATCAGTTCCCCCGGGCGTCCTCCAGGGAACCAAATTAGGGCCTTAGTTTTTTCATGTTAATTAATGACCTTGTAGCCGAAAATGTATGTTTATGGAAATATGTAGACGATACGAAAGCGTCTATAATCTCCAAAACGGTTGCGAAGGGGGAGCTTAGCAACGCCCAACGTATTACAGATAGAGTAATAAAACGGTCACCACAAAGTAGAGTCCAGCTGAACGATAGATGTAAAAAGAAATGCGATATTATCTTTCACAAAGTCCCAGCAAGAATTTGAGCCCATTCTCATTAATGTCGATGCTTTAGACATGATAGGAAGTGTCAAGCTATTAGGTTTTGATATTTCCAGTGATTTGCCCCGGAATATCCATATTAATGTAACTATTAAGAAAGCTCCCATGGGATTATATTATTTGCTTCAACTTAAGGGAGCTAAGGTTGCTTGCACTGATTTACGGCTCTTATAGTCTAGTTGTAATAGATCAATTAAAAATTGAAAACTGATGGGTTTAGCAGATGTTTCGCCCTTCTACAGGAACATTTTGGCAAGAAATTCATTCCAAAACTCTCAGTTCATGACGCAACAAAAATGAAAGAGGAAATACTTTGGAATAACCAAATCACAGTTTTGTTAACGGAGGTGTCGAAAATCGATTTTTCATAAGGTCTGGGAAAGCAAAAGTATTCAAAGATTAATCGATAAAAGTTTTAAATCGTTCTTCTGGAAACTAAAATTAAATGAAAATTAAAATTAAAAAGTCGATCTCCCTGTGCATTTCGTTTACATGCCTTGCTTTTATTACTATTGTATGCACCTTGGTTGTATTTACTGTACGCTTCGTTCTTCAGTTTATTAAAAAAATCACGATTATTTTAGGATTTGTCTGGAAGTTGTTTTCTTGAAACATGAGGTCTTCTGTTAATCAAAACTCGGAGAATGCAAGAAAATGGAAGGGGGCGAACTTTGATAGCATTTTAAACTTATTTAGTAGGAAATATTTCCACTTAGTAGTTAACATCCTCTTCTGATAAAGGACTATCGCAAAATAGAAATCTTGTTAAAAATATATATTTGTCCATGCAATGAAAACTTTTATATTTTTTTTATCTGTTTCCAGGCTTAGTAATATTATTTGACTATTGTTATCATGGTCATTATTCTTCTTATAATTTTTGTATTAATTAATATATTGTATTTTGTGCAATATCTAAAATAAAAAAATACAGTAATATATAATAAACATACACGTTAATACTAAGACCGTCACTAACACTGGACGAAAAAATGGATTTGCACCAAATTTGCTTATGTGCAGATTTTTTCGTGCAGTGTATACTACTCACACTGCACTATATATACAATACTTTGACTAAATTATAGTCAAACGCCGCCTGAAATAACCAAACTGCCATTAGTTAAAAGTAGTTGGGGTGATAGCTAAAGTTCCATTAGTGGCGACAGACGAGGAGACATTTCCAGTTGACACTTAACATGCTTTTACTCCATAACGGAACACTGCAAATATAATACCACCCCAAGTTGTTCTCGCTCAATTCGTTTGGCCAACATCTTAACCACTAGTCACGTTTTACCTCGGTTACTCATGTTTACACCTACTTATCCACCTTTTTACCCCATTTACCCATATTCAACCTAATTATGCAAACAGGCGCAATGTGGTCATCTTTGTTTTGGTGTTTAACAGTAGTCTACACGCGAAAGTTTTAGTAGGTACAGGATGCCGAGTAGTGCTAACGAAAGGATACTTCCATTAAGATGGATGCCATTGATGTGACAATAAAGTTGGTGATGGTGGTTGTGGTGATGATTATGATGAAGATGATGATGACGATGATGATGATAATGACGACGATGACGATGATGCAGATAATAATGGTGATGTTTATAATGATTATGATGCTGATAGTGATGTTGGTCACGGAGAAGGAGGTACAGTTGTATGTGTTTTACAATGCAATAGACCAATGTCGTCGATGTATTAAGAATCATACTTGGCACCACTGCTTAGGGAATGATTTATTTTATTTGCTTGAGTCCCCTGAGCCTCGGAGCCAAGTATGAATTTGGATATTATTTAAATTGTTCAATTTAATTTAAGTCTGGGACTATTAAAGATTAATTGTCCATGATTAGACTGTACAGGATGCCGAGTAGTGCTAACAAAGGTATACTTACATTTAGATGAATCTCACTGGTAAGGTAATTATGATGGTAGTGGCGATGGCGATAATAAGGACGATGACGAAGATGTTGATGACGGATATAATGATGGCGATGACGATGATGCTGGTGATGCTTCTGATAACAGATTTTTATTTGAGGGAAAAGGAAAAGCTACAGGTTTTTGTTTTTACAATATTCAAATAATTTGCATGTCTGATTTACAACTTCAAAGAAAAATACTAATGGACTTGATGATTAATCTATTATGAAAATGTAGTAAGGGGGTGAATATATACATGAATACATATTTATTGTTTTCTCCTCAAAGGGATTTTTCAGGAGCAATCATTGTTTAAGAGCACTAGATTTTACTAATTAACTGCTATAGTAGTTAAGAGAAGTTGTGGTGATAGCTAAAGTTCCATCAGTGGCAAGAGACGAGGGAATATTTCCACTTGACACTTAACTTGCTTTTCTCATAACGGAACACTGCAAATATAATAGCTCCCCCAAGTGGTCCTCGTTCCATTCGTTTGGCCAACATCTACCGCTAGTTATCCATGGCTTATCTCGGTTACTCATGTTTACCCCCTTCTTTTCCACCTTTTTATCCCATTTACCCATATTTACCCTAATTTACCCGCATTCCACCCCGTTTACCCACGTTTACTCCAAGTTGTCCACATTTCAACCATTTACGTAACTTCAAGTTATCCGCGGTTGACTTACTCCTTTTACCCGTGGTTACCCCTAGTTACTGTTATTACATAGTAAACCATGTCTCATCCCGTTTCCCAACACTTAATTACCCTAAGTTACACCCGTGTCGTTCCGTGTCCCGTTTTTTCACGGTTGCTCCAATTTTGCATATACGTGTCATCCCTTTTACTAATACATTAGCTACATTGGCCACGTTTCATCCCATCTACAACACGTAGTTGTCCACGTTTCAACCGACTTATCCAAATTTGCCTTAATTTACCCGCATTCCAAGCCATGTTTACCCCAAGTTTAACTCACGTTTCACCTCTTTGACTCAATTTTTCTTTTCTCTTTACATTATGCATCCCTCAAATGTATGACATATCATTTGAAAATTGCTTATTTCATCTAATTATCGTTTCCATTTTTACTCAGTCAAGGCACACGCGTACTACCAGTACAAATATCATTGACCAGAATAAGGAGATTAAAAAACCTTATTTTCGTTTTTTCTCCTCTTTTACATAGCATGCATCGAATGAACTGATTATTGAACAACAGGTAATGGAGGTAAAAGTACTGCTCATGTGGTACCAGCGTTGATCAGAGTATGTGGATTCAGAGGCGGATCCAGGGGAGGGGCCCGACCAAAATGAGGCCTAAAGGGCCGAAAAAAATTTTTTTGAGGCCGGGGTCCCCCCCTTATCTCAGGGTCTGGATGACCGCCCCCCCCTTATCTGAAGGTCTGGATCCGCCACTGGGATTTTCTGTTTCCCTCAGTGTTTGATTTCATGTAGTGTTATTTCCGTTTTGTCCATCAGAAAATATTTCAACAACAAGTACCAAAGATGATAAGCGAAGTAAGTGGATTCGGTTTATCCAAGTGTTTGTCTATTTCTACCTATGTGTGTATAGTTAAACCCTTAATTGGATTGCATAATTTAAGAAATGCCCATTTCAGGTTAAAGTCATTGTGAGTTGGCTTGATTAGATAAATTGATAGAGCGTTGAGTCCAGTCATGGTAAAGGTCAGGATTCGATTCTCCGATGTAGTATGTCCACTGAGTAGACTGCACAACTACGAGTCGTACGATTGTGCCATTGTTAACCGGTTTTGGATATGTGGAGTGACATCATTCATGTTGTAGTACTATTTTCTGACTGCTTGTGAAATTTTCAAGGAACTGAATGTAGGCTTCTCCTTAACAGCAAGCCTCAATAAAAAGAAGCGCAATGTGGTCATCTTTGTTCTGGATTTTTACTGGCAAAAGTTTGAGCCTAGTAAATTAGTAAGTATAGAATGCCCAGTAGAGCTAACGAAAGAGTTATACTCCCAATTAGATCAGGGGAGAGATTGGGGCGGAATTGATATTGGTGATGGTGGTGATGATGAGGATGATGACGACGATTACTATAATGGAGATAATAATGGTGATGATGATGACGATGCTGATATTAACTTTGGTGATAAAGAAGGAGGTATGTGTTTTACAATTCTCAAGACCAATATCGATGTAGAGTTAAATTCTTACTTGGCTTCAAGGTTTAGGAGAATGAAACAAAAGAAATCGTCTTGAGACTTAGCAATCAATAATGCATTTCTTTTGTTTTATTCCCATGAGCTTCGGAGCCAAGTATGAATTTCGATATTATCTAAATTGTTCAATTCAATTAAGTCTGGGGCTGTTGGATTAATTGTCCATGATAAGACAGCATAGGATACCGAGTAGTGCTAACAAAAGGATACTTACTTTTAGATGAATCTCTATGGTAAAGCAATTATGATGGTGATGGCGATGTTGATGATGAAGATGATGACGAGGATGACGATGATGGAGATAATGATGGTGATCACGATGATGGTAGTGATGCTTCTGATAAAAGATTTTTTGTTAAAAAGGAGGAAAAGCAACAGGTTTGTTTGTTTTTTTTTTTTTTTTACAATATTAAAATATTTCGAATGTCTGTTTTAGAGGTTTTTCAAAAGAAAAATGCTAATAAACCTGATAATATTAATCACCTCGGGTTCCACTGCTTTTATAGGGACAAGACATTTCTTCTTATAATTTTTGTATTAATTAATATATTGTATTTTGTGCAATATCTAAAATAAAAAAATACAGTAATATATAATAAACATACACGTTAATACTAAGACCGTCACTAACACTGGACGAAAAAATGGATTTGCACCAAATTTGCTTATGTGCAGATTTTTTCGTGCAGTGTATACTACTCACACTGCACTATATATACAATACTTTGACTAAATTATAGTCAAACGCCGCCTGAAATAACCAAACTGCCATTAGTTAAAAGTAGTTGGGGTGATAGCTAAAGTTCCATTAGTGGCGACAGACGAGGAGACATTTCCAGTTGACACTTAACATGCTTTTACTCCATAACGGAACACTGCAAATATAATACCACCCCAAGTTGTTCTCGCTCAATTCGTTTGGCCAACATCTTAACCACTAGTCACGTTTTACCTCGGTTACTCATGTTTACACCTACTTATCCACCTTTTTACCCCATTTACCCATATTCAACCTAATTATGCAAACAGGCGCAATGTGGTCATCTTTGTTTTGGTGTTTAACAGTAGTCTACACGCGAAAGTTTTAGTAGGTACAGGATGCCGAGTAGTGCTAACGAAAGGATACTTCCATTTAGATGGATGCCATTGATGCGACAATAAAGTTGGTGATGGTGGTTGTGGTGATGATTATGATGAAGATGATGATGACGATGATGATGATAATGACGACGATGACGATGATGCAGATAATAATGGTGATGTTTATAATGATTATGATGCTGATAGTGATGTTGGTCACGGAGAAGGAGGTACAGTTGTATGTGTTTTACAATGCAATAGACCAATGTCGTCGATGTATTAAAATTCATACGTGGCACCACTGCTTAGGGAATGATTTATTTTATTTGCTTGAGTCCCCTGAGCCTCGGAGCCAAGTATGAATTTGGATATTATTTAAATTGTTCAATTTAATTTAAGTCTGGGACTATTAAAGATTAATTGTCCATGATTAGACTGTACAGGATGCCNACTTTTCACAGCTGATGTTGACGCTGGCTTAATTAATTAAGGTCTTGAATAAACAATGTTTCTTCTATCTCACAATCATAATGATATGTTTTGCCAGATGCTAAGATTTCAAAGTGATCCCATTTAATGTTTTGTCCGGTGGCAGTGATATGGTCAGCAATAGCTGAAGAGTGATCATTTTTTGTTAGGGACTTGAGGTGTTCAGTCTTGCTATCATGGAACCGTCGCTTAGTTTTACCAATGTAAAAATCATTATAATCCCAACAACAACCTTTGTAAATGACTTTGGATCTTTGAGAGCGATTAAGGTGGTCCTTGTATAGAAAGAAAGATTAAATATTGCAGGTATTTTAAAAAATTATCTTTAAATTAACACAAGAGTAAAACTGGTAAATACAGGATTTTAGGCGCTTAGAAATTCGGTAATATTTATCCTTCACTTTGGTTTCGGTACGTTGATGACATTTTCACCATGTTTAACAACAAAGACTTTCTTAATGAGTTTCTACAGTATTTAAACAGTCGTCACAACAGTATGAAGTTTACCATTGAATTTGAACATGACAGCGAAATTCCGTTTTTCGATATCCTAGTAAAACGCGGCCCCAACACCATCTTTAGGATCTGTCTACCCGGAAAAAGACATTCACGGGTTTTTATACTAAATGAGACTCTTTCAGTCCTCGCAAATACAAAATATTATTATTAAACTTAATCCGCACTCTGACTTATCGTTGCTACCAAATTTGCTCCTCCTTTTCTTTGCTACAATCTGCCCTGGATGATCTAAGAAAAGTTCTTCTTCAGAATGGTTACCCCCAAGGAAAAATCAACTTCCACGTCAATGATGTTTTGGAACGAAACCGAAACAAGCGAGTTGTTCCTTTTTCTATGGTCCCTTAGAAGGATGTTATTATTTTGTTACCTTATTTAGGTCTTCAAAGCAACCAAATTTCTAAACTTATAAAATCCTGTATTTACCAGTTTTACACTTGTGTTAATTTAAAGATAATTTTTCAAAACGCTTGCCGTATTAAATCTTTCTTTCCATACAAGGAGCGCCTTATTCGCTCTCAAAGATCCAAAGTCATTTACAAAGCTTGTTGTTAGGATTGTAATGATATTTACGCTCGGGTAAAACTAAGCGACGGCTCCAAGATAGCAAGACTGAACACTTCAAGTCCCTAACAGAAAAATGATCAGTCTTCAGCTATTGCTGACCATATCACTGCCACCGGACATATTGAACATTAAATGGGATCACTTTGAAATCTTAGCATCTGGCAAAACAGATTATCATTGTAAGATAAAAGAAACATTGTTTATTTAAGACCTTAAGCCAGCTTTTAATGTCAACATCAGCAGTGACAACAACAAAATGGTCGCTGGCTATTCCTTTAGCATCTACATGTATCTGATATTGATTCCTGTGTAAAATTACTGAAATTAAAATTTCTGATCGTTAAAATTTAAGTTACTGATTATTATCCCGTTTTAGACTTGAACGACTTCGTTATCCAACTAGACGAGGAAGTTGAGGGCATGCAGTCAACCATCTTAACGCTTCAGCATCAACTCAAAGACTGCAAACAGCAATTGACTCAATGACAAGAGAAATTGCTTGTTTATGAAGAGAAACTAAAGACAAGTGAAGGCTTGCTTGCTGAAACGCGCCAGCAAAACTCACCGGTCAGTCTCAAGTCCGAGGAACAAGAGGAGCATGCGCCATCGCAAGCGCAATTGCAGCAAGCGAAAGCGGAAGTATGGACCAGCGTTGTTGAATCTGCGACAGGCGGCGAGGAAGGCGATAGGACATCCCCCGCCTCGCAAAGCGAAGAGAGCGTTGAGGAAGAAAGGATGCTTGGCGCTCCCGTCCCCGTTCCGGTTACTAGTACTGTTCCCACCAAACCTGTAGCGAGCTCGCCTTCGGCATTCTCTATCAGCCACTTGCTTTCATCCGACTCGAACCTTGGGAAGGAGAAAAAAGAGAAAAACTCTTTAGAAAACGGCAGTAGTGAACGCAAAATCCCACCGGCGTTAGAACCTTGTGCTGAAAAAACCGAATCCCCTCTTATCGCTTATCCGTTGTGCAATTTTGAATAGGGTTTATCTACCTCCACGCCCGTGGGCATAGAAGAAGCAGTGCTTTCTTATAGGACGTTTTGGATGTCTTAAATTATCTATAAAGTACCTTTTTGTTTTCACAATATTATTTGTTTAATTTCTCAATAGACCTTTGGGAGAAAGTCAAGTATCCCCTCTAGCGTTCCCAAATTCGAAACAATTAGAACGTAGTAGAAACTCAAAACAATTGAGAAGAGAAACACGTTTACTCCGCAGGGAAAGGTGTCAAGAATGGCGCCTGGTGCTGCTGGTCTAGACGATGCGTGGGCCGCCGGCTGCAAAGTAACATTTTTAAAACTGTATTTATAAAAAAAAAAAAAAAAAAAAGAAGAAGAAAAGTGGAATTAAAAAAAAAAAAAGAAATATTTTTTTAATAAAAAAATGATGGTAAAAAAGATGATGGGGTGGGGGTTTGTGAAAAAAAAATTTTTGTTAAAAAGGAGGAAAAGCAACAGGTTTGTTTGTTTTTTTTTTTTTTACAATATTCAAATAATTCGCATGTCTGATTTAGAAGCTTTTCAAAAGAAAAATGCTAATAGAACTGATAATATTAATCCACTCGGGTTCCACTGCTTTTTAAGGGACAAGACATATAACGAGACAACGAGACAGCTGGAACGAGTCTCGATTTCACTGTTTCGATTGGAGTGCCGAATACGTAATCGAGAGGCCATTTAATCGAGACGATTTTTATCGAGTACTTTACGATACGTTGCCCAGAAACGAGGAGTGATCCCTTAATTCAATGCAACAAATTTAAATGCCAGTAAATCGGAGAGACCAAACGCCAACTTAATGAACGATCTGGAGAACATCGTCGATCCGTCTTGAACCACCATCAACTCAGCGATCCCACTCCTGTCTCCTTACATTTTAATCAAGCTGGACATTCAATCAACGACGTCATCTTCAATCCCACTTGGACTCATACGCAGCAACCGTGACCCGGTGAGAAAGCCTAGAGAAGATCATCATTTAATACACAAAGGAAACACATCATCATGTCTAGGAATAAATAGACGTATTGAAGCTCGCTGATATAAGATACTACCTAGTCTCCTACACCAATAACAATCCATTGTTTTTATTGTCATATTTTCAAGCTCTATTTTTAACGAACTTTTAGTTTTATCTTCATTTCTCTTTTAGCTCCTAAAGAAGGTTTGTTTTCAAACCAACATAATGTGCAAATTTGTTTAAATATATATTTTTTGTTTTATTCTTTTGTTTACTTCTTCATCACCTTGCCGTAATGATTAGTTTAACGTTTCGTATCTTTGTATTCCTGAGATAACTGCCTGTGACGGTCTCGAAGGCAACCCCCTCAAACTGTTTACACCAGAGTGGCCTGCATCCCGGCTCCGGGCGAAAAACCTAGTGGCCACGTGTAAATGAATTCAGACAGATACCGTATTTCTTCGAATGAGCGCCCAAACTCGAATTAGCGCCTACCTCGAATAAGTGCGCATCCTAAAGGCAGAAAAACTTAACAAAAACCTACCCCCAACCCACCCCCTCCACTCCTACTCAAACTCAAATAAATACGGTATATTGGTTCACAACAAGGATAGCCAAAATGGAGGCGATTTTAGTGAGGAAATCAAGAAGTGATATGGTTTCTGCAACATCTTTTAAAAACAACTTGGTATACTTACATGTTTTTGTATCTACGCAGGGCACTCAAGTAGTATTACAAGGAGTGCTTGCAGAAGAGTCAGAAGAAAAACATGCTGAAGTACATGAGCAAGTTGAAAAGTGTGGAGGGCGTGTGAATTTTTAACATATTTTTATATATTTTGAAAACTGTGTTTATTGTATTTGAGAACTACATTTTAAATAGGTACCAAATTATATTTTTATAGGGTTTTTTGCTGCTTTTATTGGTATTTTAATCTGCTTTTAATGGAGTTTTAACCTTTTTTTAATGGTGTTTTAACCTGCTTCAGGGGCACGCAACGACGGTTTCCTCCAAAATACGATGAAAAGAGTCTTTAGGCTATCCCGGCTTCTTTTAGATATCTAGAAATGCTTCTAAGCGGCGCTACAAAATTTTTATCTGTTCGGTCATTCTAGGAGAACTGTTAAGTTAAAAGACTTTTCGAAATTACAAGGGCTTCAGGTATTATTTTTCCAAAAAGTTTAGGTGCTGATTCCTCTCTCCATTACAGTTTAGAATCCGAAAATTTTCGGTTTGCTTTTTCTAAGAAAATTAGTGTAACCTGGGTAGCAAAATATGAAAAATTAAACTTCAGAAAATCATTCGTAGGGAATTTATTAGTACGATAAGCTTCGAAAATTGCACATTCATCTGGAAATTTTTAGCCGTCCTCAAGCCGAAAAAAAAATCCTAGGCAATATTTGCTTTTCCGAACAGATATTATACAGAAAATAGTCGTTGGGTGCCCCTGCTTCTTTTGATAGTTGAGCGTTTTAACCTGTTTTTAATGGTATTTTAGCCTACTTTTAATCAGGGTGTTTTAACCTGTTTTTGATGGTGTTTTAATCTGCTCTTTTAACCTGTTTTGAAAAAGAACCAGCTGAAAAAAAATATTAAAAATATTAACATATCCCTTTTATCTGAAGTTGTCTGAACACTCTATACGTCTTTCTTGGGAATTTTGTTTAAAACACACCACATCGCATGTA